CACTGCAGAGGCAGAGCTTCCCAAGGCTTTCAGCAAGGCTGGACAGGGCTGACCCTGCCCAGGACAGCACAGACCCTGCCCAGGACAGCACAGATGCCTCTGGGATCATGGAGCATTTGAAACTCCCTGGACAAGGCCACAGGGTGGGCAGGTTCTGGGAGCAGAGCACTGACCTGCTGGTCGTAGTTCTTTGGCACGTAGCCCTCTCTGTAGTACACCACTGCCACCTCCTGGCCCTCCCTGCAACAGAAACCAGCACCAGTCACAGTCCCTGCCCGTCTCTGCCCAAACCCCCCAGTACCAAGGGGACTGCAACAGGGTCAGGCAGGCCCTGCAGGGCAGCATTTGCCCCTTCCACTTGCCCTTCCAGGATGTTCTGCTCCACGCTGGCTCTGCCAGAGAAAGCTGGGAACTGTGAGCCCTGGTTCCCCTCCACCAAGCCCCAGCTGCTTGCCCTGCCCTGGAACACAGGGAGCTGAGACCTGGCCTCTGCCCTGACCAACCACAGTCTCAATAATTCAGGCACTCAGCCCAGCAGGGAGGTAAGAACCTACTTTTTAAATAGGTTTTGCCATTCAGAGCCAGGCTCGGGAGATTCATCAAGCTGGGAAGGAACAGGGTCCTTCTCCAGTGGGAATTCAAGGGAGGACATCACCTCAACAACCCACCCAGGCACCAAAACACCCTGCCAGGGCAGGGGGTCTCAGCCTACCTGTAGCACTACAGCCTGTGTGGGCAGGGAAGGCAGCACAAACTGCTGGCAGGCAGGCAGTGTGGCTGTACAGGCAACCATCAGTCAGAGCAGTTTGCTCTGGAGGAAGTACAGGGGACACACTTGCCCCTTAACTGTCTGGCAATGACAAATTTATTTGTTAATTATACATAGCAGAGACACCAAAGGTCAAACCATTGGAAAATGAGCCTAACTACAGAAAAGGCATTGACATGAAAACGTGTCTTCTACAGCTCCAAGCACATTACCCTGGAAATAGGACAAACGTCACACTTGGGACCAACTGCCAGCACTTGGGAGTCTGTGACCCACATGTTCTGGCCTCCACTGGGAGCAGGCAAAACCCTGAATGCACTCAAAACCAGCAGTACCCTAAGGACATGGAACACTTCCTCCTCTAGCACCAGTAACCCAGCCCAGCTCCCACTGGCAGAGCATCACGTGAACAGTGAGCAGGAAGTGTCCCTGCAGAAGCCTCTGAAAGAGTCAGGACTTTGCACAGCACGTCTGTGGAGGAAGCACAGATCCCACCCCACAGAGGGCTGTGGCCTGAAGGAGGGAAATTGTGTTTCCAGCTGTGAGGGGCTGCTGTGTGTGTGTGTGTGTGTGTGCACGACCTCAAGACTGAAAACAAAACCATTCTGTGTCCAAGGGGAAGCAGCAGCATCCTGGAGCAGGAGCTGCCTGCTCAGAAAGTCACCACTGACACTCAAAACATGCCACCAGCTTTGGCTGAAAATTCCCCCTGACAGGAGAGGGGCAGGAAGGCAGACCTTGGCTCATACTCACATATACAGCCTCCTGGCATCATCCAGGGACCCCTTTTCAAACACATCTCTGATCCGCTTCCTGATGACCCGGCCTGGTAAGAGAAGAGTGGGAGAGTCAGCAGGCTGGGCAGAGTCACAGGAGCTGGAAATCACAGGTGGAAATGGTGGCTCCAGCAGGAGGATCCATAGGGTCCTTCACAAATAACCTCAGGGTTTGTTCCACAGAGCCAGGGGAATCCTACAGGCCAAACTAGTCCCTCTCTTTAGCACCCATCCTGTGCTTCCACCCAAACACCGCAGGAAGCAGAACAAGCCTAAACAGCCTGGATTTCTCCCTGCTCACCTTTCACTTCCTGAAGTGTTTCTAAGAGAAGTCATCATTTTTGGTTTTGTTATCCCTGCTCAACAGACTCACAGACAGACAGGCCCTGGATGGCCTCAAAGCCAAGAGGTACAGACAGGAGTGGCTTCCTGGGTTTGAGCTCCTCCAGGCCCTTCAGCCTCCCCTCCACACAGCAGCACTGTGACCTTGCTGAGCTGCAGGCACCACCACACACCTCCTGCTGCTCCAACCCTGGGCCTCACCACACCACACCACCTCCTTCTCCCCAGCCCTTTACCCAACCTGGCCCAGATCTTTCACAAAGAGTTGGCAGCTTCATTATTTAAGCTTTTCTGAAATACCCTGTGTCCAATCCCAAGCCAGAGAGCAGGCAGGACCCTCATAAACCCCACTCTGCTCCTTATGGTCTCACCTGAGACTTGGCCAACAGGAATGCTACCACAGGTCCAGCTCTGAGGACTTTGAGAGGCTTTGGGAGTTGGCAAGATGAAGGTGGGTGCTGAGGCCAGGCAGGAGGCCTCTGAAGGGGGACATGTACCAGACTCAAAAGATAAGCCCAAAATAAAGTCTGCTTTGTTACATACCAAGACATGTCCTCTCACAGTCCCAGAAACTCTCAATTGTTTTGACTTTGTCCTTGATTAGGTGACAAAGTAAAATACAAACAGATTCTGAACTCTTCCCTCTTCCCCTGCCCTGCTCCTGTGCCTCCACAGCCACACTGTGCCTGCTGGAGAGCCTGGAGACACCCCACGAGCTGCCCTGGGGGACACACCATGATCTGGCAGCAGTTTGCTCCAACTCCCTTTTCCAAGACTGTTCCCATCCCAGGAAAATCCAACTTTTACCTGTTCCAAAGCTCATTTTCTACACATCGCTGATCAAAAATGTTCCTCTGGACTTCCTCCACCAGAAACATCACCACAGCACTGGAAAAAGATACCAAGGACATCTCATCAAACCCAGGAACACTCCACATGCACCCATGATCACCAACTTCTGATCTCTGTGACTCAGCCTTCCTGCACTGCTCTTGCTCATTTTCTCCAGTGTTTCTAAGGGTCACAGAATCCCAGAATGGTGGGGGTTGGAAGGGGCCTCTGGAGATCATCCAGTCCAACCCCTCTGCTGGAGCAGGATCCCCTAGAGCAGATCCCACAGGAACACATCCAGGTGGGTTTGGAATGTCTCCAGGGATGGAGACTCCACAACCTCCCTGGGCAGCCTGTCCCAGGGCTCTGTTACCAGGAGGGTAAAGAAGCATTTTCTGGTATTTAGGTTAAACCTCCTGTGGACCAGTTTGTGCCCATTGCCTCTTGTCCTGTCCCTGGACACCCCTGAGCAGAGTCTGGCCCATCCTCCTGACACCCCCTGGTGGCATTGACCAGCACTGATCAGACCCCCCCTCAGCCTCCTCCTCTCCAGCTGAGCAGCCCCAGCTCTCCCAGCCTTTCCTCACAGGCAGCTGCTCCAGCCCCTCAGCACCTCAGTGCCCTGGGCTGGACTCTCTCCAGTAGCTCCTTGTCCTTCTTGAACTAGTTACCATACAACCTTGTGTAATTACCAAGTGTGGGGCATAAGCACGAGGGCAGCAGGAGAAGCAAGGCCCTGGGCAGGGTTGTTGAGCCACACAACTCCTCCAGGGTTCCTCTGCACCCCTCTGCCTTTGTGACCCAGCAGCTTTGTGTGCCATGAGAACCTCATGGCTCTTCCCAGGGTGCCACAGGCTTTTGGAGAGCAGCTTGCCTAGCAAAGAGGCACCTCCCAGAAAGCACCAACTTCAAAAGCAAGCACGTGCATCCCCAGGGGAGATAAGACACCCTCCTCTCTCCTTACCCTGGAGCACCATAGAGCTCCCAGGCCTTGGCAATACCCCAGGCCAGCCCTTTGGAGGGGTTGTTTGTCAGCAGCCGTGACGCCTCCTCAGGCTTCCCCAACACCTTCAGCACCCTCCTGTGGGACAAAAAAATAAAGGGGCTGTAAATGCCACGACAGCTTCTGACCAGACCCTAGGGAGCAGGAGCTGGGGGAGCACACAAAGAGAGGGCAGCAGGCACTTACCCGTGGACAGCAGCAGTGCGGGAGGTGAGGCCCCCAAAGCTGGCAGCAATGGTGTTGATCTCTATCTGCTTCAGGGCTGGGGTCCCACCCACCCCACAGTCAAACATGTAATCCGAGCGGTTTATGCCTAAAAACACAGACTGAAAAGAGAGGGCGAGTGAAGTGGGTTCTCCTCTTGCCTGCAACTGCAAATCCCTCTGATGACCCAGCCTCAAAAAATCCTCCTGGGGCAGATCCAGTCACCTTCCTTTGGGGAAAAGACTTTGCAAGAGGAGCCCGGGGGTGCTTTGGCCCTTGCTTGGGGCCCACAGCCCTGCTCAGTGCTGCAGAGGGGCAAACCACACTCCTGAGGGGAAAGGAGCTGCTGCAGGGACACCCTGTGGGGAGCAGGTCCCAACACAAGCACACCTTGAGCTCTCCTGGGGCTCCCCAAGGACAAACCACCTGAAATCCTCAAGGATTTAAGTCCTCAAGTCAGTCAAGGCCAGTTTCCAGCAGCACTAACCAAAGGGCATGACTGTCCAAGAGGGCAAAGTCCTGAGTTCACAGGCTGTAACCAAGACATGGGAGTGACCAGCCCAACTGCAGGACAGCCCAGAGCAGCAAGCTGCCTGGCAGGGAACAGGCAATCCCACCAGCAGCAGCAGAAGGGGATGCCAACAGCCAGGGAGAGTCTCCTGCTGAGGTACCTGAGCCAAGCCTTCCTCCAGGACCTGCGTGTGGATTCTGAAGAGTCGAGCTGTGAAGTCATCTACTTTGATGGTGCTAGAGAGGAAAAAAGCAAGAACAGATCAGCCTGCTTAAATCACCACAGAAAGAAAACTGATTTTCCAGAAAAAAAAAAAAAAAGCCCCAAACAACACCTTACCAGGGACATTCTCCAGCACAAATGGCAGGGCTGTGAGCAGAGCAAGTTCTACAGCCCTGCTAAACATCTCTCTCTTCAGCACAGGCCAGTGTGAAGCACAAACCCAGTGTGCTCAGCACAGCCACTCCAGAGAGAGCAGCACTGTGCAGAGGGGACTGGCATTTGCAGGACAGAGCCAAGGGACAAGAAAAAAAAGCAAAGACATGCAGCAGAATCCTGCAGGTGCAGGAAAGAAATCAGAATGCACGGTTCATAGGAGAAGCTTCATCTCAACCCTGACCCTGCTGGGCTCCAAATCCCACCCACTGTGGTGCCAAGTGCTTCAGTGGCCCTGGTAGAGCAGGTCTGGCTTCTCCTCAGGGTCCCAAATCCCTGAGACACTGCCCAGGAGGCAGCACAGAGCACGAAAGCCCCAGGTATAACCATGCCCCCACAGGGCTCTGGTTGCAGCCAGCTCTAGAACAAACGTTTAAAGAGCTCTGAGGGGTGAGGCTTTAGCAAAACAATGCTGGAAAACAGTCTCCTTTGTTCTGTCCAGATGCCAGAGCCACCAGCACCTGCACAGACAGGCAGCAGGGAGGGAAAAGGGCTTGAAACGACAAGCTTGAAACACTGGCAAAATTGAAGACCATTGCAGGGAGTCAACTCTTGGCCAGATGTCTCATCTTCTGAGGCCCAAGGAGACCACAAAACACAGACTGAAATTCATCTTAGGACAAACAACATAGCAAAGGACATGATTTCTGAAGAGGACAGGAGATGATTTCTGCAGAGGACAGGACAGAAGGTAGGAATTGCCTAACAAAGTGATAAAGGCTCTGCATGTAAAATATTTCATTAAAATGCAACATGCAAGAAAGTTACCTGGCCAGAGTTTGCTCCAGGAACTCTTTATTTTGACTGATGGCATCCACCAGCAGGTTGAAGTCCT